ACCTAGTTCCAACCCCTAATAGTATCCAAGCTTAATGTTTTGGTCGAATCAATCTTGCAACATCTACTGAGAACAAACTTCGTTACTGAGTAGTCAGTGATGAAAATGGGAAACAATACTCACCCGAGATACAATGATTTTAGGAAAAATTCCTAAAAAAAACTGAATATATGAAATTTTAATTTAGGCAGCTAATAATTGAAAGTGACGGGATAGGAAGTAAGGTATCAACTGACATTTTGAAAAATATTATGAAATTACATATATGCCCTTATGCGATGAAAGATTATAAAAATTGCAATTTTAAGTTCAATACTTATCATTACTAGTGTAATACTTGTCGTTTATAGTTCACAACTTATTAACTAACTAGCTGGTTAAAATAACAGAGAATAAAAAAAAAAAAAGGTTACAAGACTTGTTATTGCTAATTCAACATTCGTCATTCCCAGTTCTATTAATATCATTTATGTCATTGAAAGGCATATGGATGATTTCATAGCATTTTCAAAATGTCAGTTTCTGGTCTCACTTCCTTTTATATCATATTCAACTGTTATTTGATTGAATTATAATTTCATATATTCAGATTTTTTTTAGGATTTTCCCCATATCTTACCGTCATTACGAGAACATAATTTTTTTTTTTTCGTAATTCAATTTCACACTAACATTTCTGTGTTCTTTTCATGTGATGTAATTTAATATACAAATATATATAATCATCATCATTTTTTTTGCTAAAATATATCTCAGCGGAAGTTTGAATCTTGATTCGTCACATATTGAGGAACTAGTTTTTTTGGCTAGACCTATCTTGTTGGTTATAACCATCATCATCATATGACTTAAATGTTATGGTACCAATTTATGGGCACTAGGCTGGGATGAAGACAAAATTTTCCTCGTAATACAAGCCCAACTTGGCTACTTGCACGACCCACTTAGGCTGGTCTCTCAGGGGCATGCGTGGTTTGTGTCAGTGTGTGTTTCTCTATCTTTCTTTATTTTTTTTGGGGAAAAAATATTCACAGGCTTGAAGAGGGGAAAAATTAAATACATCATAATTTTATTTAATAATAAGTCTCAAAGAATTCACTGTTTAAAAATTGAGCTTTTATATTGAGTTGCGTCCTTCACATGTTAAATCTTATTTATGTATAAATCTTACGTATACATGTATTGAATTTTCTTACTTCAGCTGCATGAATAATTTTTGGCTTTTTGGTGCAATTTTTTTTAAAAATAATGTGTGCTCATCATTATTTTTTTGGCATGAATGGGCCAAAATATACTATTAGCTCTATAAACAGTAACATGTGATTAACTTGAACTCGTGGGGCGATAAACACATTAACTTGGACTCGAGTTTCTGTTGGGCTCAAGCCCTAAATACATATATAAATATAGGGCCTGTGTAGCTATGATCAAGTATAGCCCAACTTTTTCTAGCTGGACTGACGCATGTAGGGGACTCTGCGTATATGCCATGTGTTTTGAACACAACAGGGCGAATCATTATCAACCTTGTTACCACGGACGGGAAGTTGGGTCTAACAGAAAGAAAGTAACGAATTAAGATTCAAATTCCCGTTGAGAGAGGTATCCACTTTAGTACCCGACAGTGTCTTGAATATGATTACTTCCAATAGGAGGATGCCCATGATTTAAAAAAAAAAAACCTTTTACCTATGGCTCACAATATGGGGAATTAAGATTCAAACCATTGTAGAGAAATATGTTCTTATTTAGTACCTGACAGTATCTCAAACATAGTTACTTTCAATGGAAAGATACCTACTCCTTGCAAAAAAAAAATTGTTACTTACAAAACAAAACAGTCAAATTCTCATTGAATGAGATGCCTACATTTAGTATCGGCAATGTTTAAATATAATTGCTTTGTTAGGAGAGATATCTGCATGTAATACCCGGCACTGTATAGTGTGCGTGCGTGCATGGTGCACATGTATGTGTTTTATGGGGAAATATAGGTACAATTTGGCATGAAACATTGAAAATGATGATACAAATTAGGATTGAGATTGAAAAAATATATTAAAAAGTCTTTAATATGAATGATTGCTTATTATTTGGGATTAGACAAATTTATATATGTCGGATTAAGAAATATTATGGGGGGATGTAGTATTTTCCAAATCCACTTACGTAGGATTCTCTAATCCCATGTAACAAGAAATTGTTTATACTAAATACTTTTTTTTTAATGGTTTTTCTCACTTCCAATCCCAATTTTGATATTTTATTTTCAATACTTCATTCCAAACAAAACCATACTGGGTGTTGCTGGACAATTGGCCCTATATGCGTAGAAAGGCTTATTTTCCCAGTGGGGAGGATTGTTTGCCTGAGAAAATGGTGCGCTAATAAAGAGTCAGGTAATTTCAAAATAAGACTAAAATGTATATAACTCTCCTCAACTTTGAGTGAGTTGCATACAACTTCTCCCATTTTTAAAAATTTAAAACCAACACCCTAAGCTCTTATATTTTGACGGCTGACCCTTGCGGTTAAAAACATTGTTAAATTTAACAGAATGTATACTATATTAAATTAGTTAGTATGACTTGGCAAATGAGGTGGAATTTTTTACACTTCATCAATTAAATACTCAAGGTTCATTTGGCTATTCTACTAAAAGTAAACCCTAGTTTTCTTTTCTTGGCCTTCTCTTCCCTCGACATCTTCCTTTTTTCCCTCTGCATTATTTGTTTATTATAGACATTCAAAAAAATGCCTTGGCTTCAAGGTATGGGCTCACAACGGTGATTCCTAATTGTTCACGGTTTATACTGATTTGTATGTGTAAGTAATATGAAGATTGAAAGATTTTTCTTAATTGATTCTCTACATAATAAGAGGGGAATGACCATTAAAAAAAAAAGCCATTATCAGATTCTTCGAAGGAAGAAGATGATAGAAATAGAACTAACATTATGATAATCTGCATTCCAGAAGTTGAAACAAACAGTAGAAATAAATCAGCGTCGTGGGAGGGAGATGATTGAATCGGGGAAGGGGATTTAGGGACTGATATTCACAGAATGACAAAATTATCCTTTAAGCAAAACTGTGTATTCAATCAATGAATTCATGAAATATTAAAAATTCCATGTGATTTTCTAAGTCATCCTGACTAATACGATGTGGCACATATTCTGTTAGATCTAATAGTTTAGTCGACGACAAGGGCTTAGTGATTAAAATATGAAAGGATTAGGGTGTTGGTTTAAAACTTTTAAATATGAGAGGAGTTAGGTGCAGCTGATGTAAAGTTGAGGGAGGTTATACATATTTTAGCCTCAAACTAATAATAATAAAAAAAAAAAACCACCTTCAATCAATGGGGATTAGATATAGTAAAAAAAAAGAGTTTTTCACAATGTGATGAACCGATATTCAAATTACCATTGAGAAATGTGCCAATATTTAATGCTTGACAGTATTTTAAACATGATTGCTTTTGATAAGAGGATAGCTGTGATTACCCAAAAAAAAACCACATTCAACGATGGGGAGAGGATAGCTGCGATTACCCAAAAAAAACCACATTCAACGATGGGGAGAGGATAGCTGCAATATAATTTTTTTTAAAATTTTTATCATGAAAATTTCAAAAACCGAATTTTTGTTGTTTATTTTTTTTTTGGAACACATTGTTTATCCGAACTTTAATATCTACGTTTATGTACCCATAGCCTATAAAACCAAGACTTTTTGTTTTTGTTTTGTTTTCTTGAAGCCATAGTTTGCAGCCCAGGATAATGCGCTCATCTGTTTTTGGTCAAATTATTAATATTTTAATCATGCGGTGATTAATGTTGAGGATGCACTTTCTTTATACGAGGGAGTCAAAGATGCACTTGAAATGACGAAAATAGTTATTAGGACGTTGAAATGATGAAAATAAAAAGTTTTAAGGTTGGCAGGGGAAAAAAACTTTAAAAAGTTTTATGAGAAACATTTAAAGTTAAGGAGCCAGAGTACATAAAATTTTAAATTTTGCAAATTTCAAAAATCAAAAGATCCAGATCGATGTCAACACAACAAAAATACTGCTTGAACTTTAAAATGGTTTTTCTCTTTTTTGTCACCAATCAATTATTTATGTTAATTTATTTTGTTTAGGTTAATCCTCTAGTCTGTGTGAATGGTGATAGGGTCAAACTTCAACAAAAGGATTCCCTCTCAAATCCTCATACCTGTGAAGATAAGAACTGGAGGGAAAGGAGGAGTAATTCTTATTTACTTAAACCATCTAATTGTGTATTATGTTAGTCTTCTATTTGGAGACCTCCAAAGTGAAGCCAAAGGTATATAAAATAATTAATGAAATTAATTCTCATAGATGCATAATATGTAGCTTCTGAGCCGCGGAATAACAACTCCTGAAACTATTCATTAAAGATGTGGGAGAATAACTTTTATTCACTTTAATAACATAAAAAATTGTTTAGAAGTACTTATATTACGTATATGTAAATACGTTTATATATGTTGAGACAAAACTGTCATTATCATTATATATTTATTTTGTATTTCGTATGTTATTTTTTGAAATATCTTACAACGTTCCAAACAAGTACTAAATGTATTATATAATTTTCTATTTATAAGCCTCAAACATCAAGAAAAATTGCATAAAATAAACAATAAAATTAATTCTCATGAGTGCATAACATGTAATCTTGGAGCTAGGAAATACGAACTCCTAAAAATTTATTCATTAAAAAGTTGTGTAAATTCATAGACATTCAAATAAGCTAATATTCGCAACAATACTCTAATCTCACAATTTCTTTGGGCTGTGAATGTGGATAAGGGCTAAGAGATTTTTGTTTTTATTTTTAATTTTTAATTTTTTTGCCCCAGTGCCCTAATTTTATATGTATAATTTTTAATCAGACTTGGATTTGTATAATTTTTTAATCAGAGTTGGATAAAGGGGAAGAAAAAGAGATTAGGGGAAACCTTGCATGATTCTGTAGTTTCCTATATCTAGAGCCCTATATTGCAAATCATATATATGCGCCTGTATGTATGTCTGCATATTAAGTTAACACCATCGTGATGGTATTGATAGGGTACACAAACCGACTATATTAGCTTCAAATTTCCTTTTTTGGCTTGCCGATTCTCTTCACTCCCCTCCCCCGGCTTCGCGGAGAACTCTGAAAGGGGTTTTCTCCCATGAGTGCCCACAGTCTTCTTCCCTCCGCAGCAAATTCCCATCTTCCCATTAATCCTCCCATCGGCGGAGTGTTCGACAGTTTTTGTCTTTTCGTAGAAGGTTTTGAGCAACCTTCGCGGGTTCATTAGGGTTTGGAGAACATCGCGATTTTAGTTGAGTTTGTTTTTGTTTTCTTTGGGGTTTTTTTATTATTGTAGATATAGGGGTTGGTTAGGGTTTTGTTAATCGGAGATGGGGAGCGTGGATCGGGTCGGTGATCGGACATTCAAGCCTAACTTCACGGTTGATGGTGCGTTGAAGCTGAGGGAAAAAGTGAACGAGAAGCTGAAGGAATTCATGGGGGATTACACTGATGACACTCTTGTGGTACGAGCTTATTGTCACGCTTGTCGATTTTGTGTACTTGTTTACTTTATCAATCTGGGAGGAAAAAACTAGGCTGTTTACGGGGGTTGTCTCGTTGTTCTTCTACAATGTATTATATGTGGTATGATTAAAAGAAGCCTTCATCTATATTTTATGTAGTATGGTTAAGAGAAGCCTGCCTCCTGTGCCATGAAGGGAATGCCACTCCTTGTCTAAGTAGGACCTCTTAAAGGTCTCAAATAATGAAACTAACTTCTTATTCCCCCTTTCTAACTCTAATGTAATTTCACGAAATTGAACATGGCAAACATCATTGCCTGACTATCCCTACAAGCATTTTTGGATTCAAGTGGAATCGAATGCTCTTGTGAATTATTATTGCTGATACGCATGCCGCACAAATTGCGGATGAAAAGTAGTTATTTTCTTAACAAATAAAGAGTTACAGTTTCTGCGTATTCTTTATGATAATGATATGAGCTTACGTAGGAACTACGACTGAATGATGTGAGAAGGACTTATGTGGAAGTATCCCCATATGTGTAACTGGAATGTTAAGGAGTTCTACATATTAAGGAATCTTATAAGGTTCAAATAAATATAAAGTGGAGATGTGTTGGTTGCTGTGAAAGTGAAACGGAGGTTCAAATAGCTCAGATTTTTTTTTCCCCGGTTCACAAGTCTTCTTTACAACGATTTATGCCTTTATGATAACCCTTACGTATCTCTTTTCCATCTCAGTTGTAAACAAGAAGGCGACTTAGCACATAAATAGGGAGGCTTTTAGTCTATATTCAGGTTACAAGGGAGCTTGATGATGGGTATTGTATGAAAGAGCAGTGCCAGTTTCTTGCAATCATGCTGTAAATCATGTATATGACATGAAACACACACATTAACATGCCCATTATGAAACTCGTAACTTTTGTATGGCTGATTTATCTTAGATATAGCCTAATGGGAAAATACAGATCGATGAGTATATAATTTATCCTACAACATATTTATGAGGAAGACAGAGATTTGGTGCATGTACCAAGACTGCAGTTATGATCAACTAAATCAGAAAATTTCTGTTGATGGTTCAAATTTATGAGACACAGTTAAAAGTACTAGTTTGTGCTTTGCTTTCAGTAGATATTAATAATGTTCACAGAAAATGAGTGGCTTTGGCCTTTCCTTGTGTCAGCGCAGTGCTGATACTTTTTTCTTTCTTTCATTTTTAAAATTTTTTAGATAGTAGAAAAATAGCAGCAAAATGATGCTTGATTCTTGAACACTCCCCCACAAACACAAAAGGATGCTCAATTGTAGCCTAGTCGGAAACTGTAATGGTCATACATGGGGCGAACAAGTTGGATTCAACTTGTTTTGGACCATGATAAGGATTAGAGTACATATCTTTGGATTTGCACTGTTGCTGCATCTAATTGGGTTAGGCGTCTTCGAAGATAGATGTTACCAGTATATGGGAATTTGGGTTCCAGATTCAAGTGTTAGAATGCTTGCCTTTTATTGGGGCCTCAAGTTGTATGGTATTGATTTTGGATGCTAGCATGATTGGTAATGGTTGTAAGTGACGACTGAAATATCTGTTAGTTTGTCTTTAAGTGGAAAAGCACATATGGTAATGATGAATATATGATGAAGGATTCCTGCCTTTTCAATTGTCATATTGACATTGTTTTTCAGCTACATATGTTGATCTTATAACGTTGTCTTCTATGTCTGATTTGGGTTTTGGAGATTTCAAATTAGCCACTCCAAATTTAATTTGAAATTCACTCTGCTGTGGCAGGATTATGTTATTGTTTTATTGAGGAATGGCAGGCAAAAAGAACAAGCAAAGAATGAATTGAATGTTTTCCTGGGGGATGATAGCGATTCTTTTGTATCCTGGTAATTTTTGTATCATAGCTTACTGACAAATTTGGTGTTATTATCATTGCAATCAATATAGTAGATAGACCCATAATGATATGTACTAATTCATGTGTGTATATTGCTAACAGGCTTTGGGATCATCTGACTCTGAATATAGATTTGTATGTACAACCTAAAGAAGGGCAGGATGGGGCTCCCAAAAAAATCATATCGGAGGTCCAAGCTAGTGTTGATGACGCTCAGCATTTAAATTCAGAGTCCGACAGAGGAAAGTCTCATAAGTTATCTAGAAGACGGCACAACAAAGATTGGAAAGGATTAGGGAGGGAGGAAACTGAGCCACCTACCCTACGCAGCTCTGTGGTTGACAATTCTCATTCGGATGAAAAAACCCGAACAGAAGCTGACCATCATCCAAAGTCACCACCTTCACCTCTAGTTCGGAGGAAGAGAGGCCATCCAGATGAGCAAAAGACAAAGGTTTGAATTGGTGAAATATTTATATTGATGATTGTGTGATGTTTATGATGGACTTCTGTAAACTGAATTTTGTTTAACAATGCGTCAACACTAATAAGTAGGTCAGTATCAAAGGGGAATACAAACGACTTCATTCATACAACAGAGAAAAGGTGTAATAGTTGCTCTAATGGTGTAGTTAGTTGATGGCAATTATATAGTGAGCATTTGGGATATTGCTTATTTTGATTAAAAATGTTAAGCTGATGTTTTCATAACTTTCTCCAACTCTTTTTATTAGTATTACTTATGAAATCTGTAGATGCTCTTCCGTGTCCTTTTCCCTGCTATCTTTTTCCTGTCCATTTTATGACTAATTTTGTAGTAAACAAGAGAATGCCCTTTTTTGGGCTTTCATTGTAACTTCTAACCTTCAAGGAATTTTGACAGAGGGATGCAATATCACAAGCAACCATCAATGCACCTCGGCGGCTACTTCAGTTTGCTGTACGAGATGCTGTGGCTACTTCAAGGCCATCTAATTCTGGCCCATCTGTGGAGCCCTCCTTGAAGCGTCTTCGTTCTGTAGTCTCTACATCCTCTGCTGATTCATCTTTAGCTGAACGTCCTCAAAGGTTACAGCCTATTCCTAGGGTGTCAAATCCCATGTCCACGGTGATTAAAGCTGTGGCAGAAGCTGCTGAAGATGTGATGAAATTTAAATCCTCAGGCAGTGTGTTTGATCGACTTGGCCGTGGTACGGATCCATCAGATGGTAGCTGCCAACTTGAAGATGATTATCAAATTCAGGAGCAAAACCAAGCAATTTATCTTCAAAGAACTGACTACAGTGGTCAGTATGCCACAAGTAATACTATGTTGGAAGATGAAGCTGATTTTCCTTTTGATCATACTTCAGATAACGAAGAGTATAATGATGTGAATGCCATGGGTCATAGGGGGGTTGGTGCTTTGCAGCTTGCCTCCTCTGGTGGAAACACGGGTGATAATTCATCCATGGTGCAGTATGGTGTTGCTAAAAACACTGATCATAATATGTATCTTAAGCAGAATAGAGGTCATGAGCAACCTGCTGCACCTAACACGTCCCATGAGATAGTGAATATTTCTGTAAATGTAAATACTTGGAAGTCACCACAATATCAGGAACCAAGAGAGGTTGCAGAAATAGATGGTCTTAAAACTAGAGACTCTGAGGCAGGGACTCCCAGATCTTGCCATCAACTGATGAAGGCCAAGGCCAGCACTCTGAAAGTTAGTAATGGGAACGTGAGTTATTCATTTGACACAAGTATTCTGATTAAATTTGAAATTTGAATATCTAGGAAAACTATGTTCTTGGGCTTTTAGTTATTGCTCACTGTTTTTAATACATATGAAATTTAATTAAATATTTAGGAGAACAATGTTCTTGAGCTTTTAGTTGTTGCTCATTGTTTTTAATGCGGAATTATGACGTTCAACAGGCCAACACTGCTTTCAATGTTCAAAAAGAATCTCAGAAGACGCACGTATCTGCTTCTGGTGAGTGCTAGATGTTATTCAAGAATTCTTCTTCCTGCCTCCAAGAAAATAATGCGAATGTTATATTTCGGGCTTATTACTTACTATAATTTTTATGCTTTGTATTTTTAACATTTTGGTTGTGTCCATGCTTTGTCAATCTCACATCTGAGTTGAAGATTTATAATTTTACTTTTCACCTTTTGGGTTCTTAGGTTCGGGTGCTGCTGGTCGTCCTTTGGAGGATGCTGATTCCCGAACCATTTTTGTTGGCAATGTAATGACTCGTGCTCCTTTGATTTGGGTGGGGGAGATTAATCCCCTTGGATATGTTGAATCTGCTCATTTTCTGAAGTTTCCAATATTTACTTTTCTCAGGTTCATTTTGCTGCCACCAAAGACAGCTTATCTCGCCATTTTAATAAATTTGGGGACGTGCTAAAAGTGGTCATACTTGTTGATGCCGCAACAGGGCAACCCAAAGGGTAAGATGTTTCATATTCTCTTACTCATCACACGTCCAATGCATTCTGTAGCAACTCGATGCTGATCCATGTTTCTTGAGCAGGTCAGCTTATGTGGAGTTCATGCGAAAAGAATCAGCAGAGAATGCATTATCTCTGGATGGCACATCTTTCATGTCACGGATTCTTAAGGTATCACATCACATTTAAGAGGATTTTCAGGGGGTGCATGATGTGCGAAGTGTTGTGATTTAAAACTCCTTAAGCTCTATCATTCTGAAATTCTCCTTTGCCCATTACCATACTTGCTTTATCTAATGCAGGTTGTGAAGAAAGGTGCTGCGCCACAAGAATCCACTCCAACAATAGCATGGCCACGTGGAGTTCGGGGATCTTCATTTCCCACTGCTAGGTTTTCAAGAGCTCCCTTTCCGAGAGGCAGTCCTGGTGCATTCTGGTCTCGGCCTCCAATGAGAATTGGGGCCAGGAGCATGCAATGGAAGCGAGATGCTCAGGGCCCTAATCAGCCTGACAATGGTGCTTCTTTCAATACCAGCAGCACTGCTGTGCCTGCTGCGCTGCGCGTGGTCTTACCTATGTAAGAACAGAGTCGAAGCCAGAAAGTGGCTAGGGTAGAATGTAAGATCAACTTTGGGGTGATGTTGCCTTGGAGGGAATGAATGCTGGGCAAAATTTTTTGCAGAGGAAAGGAGTTTTCATCCACCAACATATGGAGTCATCTGGCTTACTTTATGGAACATTCTCGTAAATGCACTTTAATGATGCGTATAAATATCGCTGGTTGATAAAATTATTCATTGCAGGGGCGTGACTTTTTGATGGAATGAAGATGAGAAGAATGTAATGGAAATAGTTAGGATCTTGATATCCATTTTTCCTCCCAATATTGTCCATAGAGTTGAATTAAAATTTGTGGATAGGATGGCCTTAAATGGTCCGTTTTGGGACAATCTGTTTTGGTTTTCCACTTGGGATTAATTTTGATTTATAAATAAAGAAGGTAGAAAATGATGGAAAAAAAGGTAAAAGATGAATTGCACGCGCACTGTCCCATACTCTGCCCATAGATTTATTTACATGTTTACATATTTGGTAAATTCTTTGTGCAAAGTTTCTTTTGCTGCTATGAATTGGTTTTGTATATGATAAGTTTATAATAGATCTCTCTTGTAGTTTTGAGGGCTCGGATATTTAAGTTCGAGATGGTTGCAATTATGGTGAAAGATAAATGTGCTGACCAAAAAGGAGAAATATTCCCTCGGTCCTTTTTCAGTGAGTAGGTCAGAATGAGAAAAAAAGATGACAATATATGGAAAAAAGATAGAGTGAAAGTATATTAATTAAGGATAAAATGGGTGAAAATGCATTTAATGTTAAAGCAAACTCAACAGGACAGATCAATACAAAATTTGAATATTATATAATAAGATTTGAATATTATAATGAGAAACATAGAGGAAGTAACATGGTTGCGCTTAGTAAAGCAATGTTTCTTTCTTGTGAAGAGACATGGACAATTATCCTTTGGATTTTTTTTAATTAATTCATGGAGTGAACATGGAGGAGGTATTTTCAGAAAGAGAGAGATGCCGGGATGTAGAGTTGTATGTAGGATTGATATCTCATTCATTTTTTTGTACGCAGAAGGTTTAAACTGAAGCAAGTTTATCTATATCTATTTTCATAAATATGTGAATATAAAATGTAAAATTCTTAGTAATTTGCACACTTATAGTTTATGGTGTGATATGGTGTCACTCACTTCTAGGTCCTATATTTATAGTATATTTAATTCTTTCAACTTGCTTATTATTTTCTTGAAATTTAAGACGCATTTGTATAATTTGATTCAAAAGCACAAATTTATGTACTTGAAAAATATATGATTTTTACATCACTTGTATCACTAAACTCATGGCGTAGTGGCTCCCAGCATAAAACCAAACATAATATCTGATTTTAAATATCACTATCAATTTATGTGCACTAAACATTCACTAAAACAAGCATACAAGACAGAGAAAGAATTCAGCACAAACTTCTATTTCTTTGCAAAATAAGAGATACCATGTGATTTGAATCTTCTAACTAAAGTGATCAAGCACCAACTTCATTGACGGTGAAAGGTTTAAAAGGAAAAAAATAACTAATACCAATTCTCAAAATGGTTGAATCAGCATGACCCTAAGTTAGACCTAAAACAAGTATGTTGTGATGAGTTCTGTCATCTATAAATTCAAATAGCCTCACTCTAATTACTCCCAATACAACAAGAAATTAAAAAAGAAGAAAAAGGAAGAAAAAGTTGAAAGGATGAAGCAGTTTGGATCAAAGGCGTCTTCAATTTTGTTGGTTTTGTTGATAGTGAGGGCTCTGGTGGTACAAGGCCAAACCACTCAATGCACAAGCACTTTCTTCTCTGCTCTTGTGCAGCTCATACCTTGCAGGTTATCAGTTGCCCCATTCAGTCCCATTCCTCCAAGTGATGCCTGCTGCAGTGCCATTAAGGCTCTAGGGCAGCCCTGCTTGTGTGTCCTTGTCAATGGCCCTCCGATCTCCGGCGTAGACCGGAATATGGCCTTGCAGCTCCCAGAGAAATGCACCACCAACTTTGAGCCATGTAAGTATATTCATCTCTTCCCTATCTCTGGTTTTTTTTTTTTTTTCCTTTTGGTTTATAACAAGCAAATCTACAAGATTGTAGGAGTTGGCTATTGTTTATAACTTCCAAACAGTAATGAAGGTATAGAGTATCTCATAATCTCAACATGCAAGTGAACGAAGGATTACTAATTTTCTTTTTCTCTCCTCCTGTTCGCAGGTGATATCATGAAGTGAAGGGAAGTTTCTATTACCAATATGTATTTTTCTCCTTCTTTGGACACTTACGTAGGAATTCTCCAATAAAAAGATGTTGCCTGGGATTATGAACTGAACTTTTGCAGTCTATTTCGTACTTTTGTAATTTCGTTCGATTATGATATTACTCAATTATAATTATGATATTACATAGGGAGAAATGGGACACGGTTACTTTGTTGTGGTTCTCTAAGCAAATACTCCATACCAATAGGTAAAATTACTCTTCAATTAAAAAATAATAATTTGCCAACAAAAATTAAATCAATTGATAAAAATTTAAGTCAGTCCACAACATAGATCTTGTTTTTGAAGTAAATCTTATTGGTAAGTGATTTGTAAATATTTATGCAAGTGTTTTGATTCTAAAGATATGTCTAAGTCACTACAACTTGTCCCCCAGGGCAAAAAAAAGAAAAGAAAAAAAGCTAATTCATAATTTAATTCATAAATTATTAGATTTATGAGCTGACAAAGACAAAGACTAACGCTGATTACAAATAAAAGAAATATAATTTGAAAACATTCTTACAGGATATTAATGTCCAGCTGCAAAAGGTAATAATGAAAGAGGATGCCGTAGCAGTAAAGGGCAAAAAAAGATAATTACAATGAGATCATGAGATCAGGCAAAGAACAAAATTACCAGAAAATCTTAATAACAAAATAAAATTATTATTTTTTACTTTAAACTAGTAATTAAAAAACTGTTCAATTATTATTGCAACTTTCTAGTAATTATATTTTTATTTGGGATTTTTTGTAATTCTCCCAAAGAAAATTAGGAAGGTGATGACAATATACAAAAATTAACATTTTTTATTAAGTATAGTTTTTTTCACTTATGTTACTTTACTAGACCCTTGCAATAAAATGAAAAAAAAAGCTTGAAACACACAACAAAAGTTAAATAACTTAGTTGGAAATAAAAGTTAAATCATTTAATATTCACTTTCAATTTATACATGTTATATTAAATGATCAAAAACATTTCTTAAACTAGATGTTTTTACACCATCATAATTCTGTGACATTCTCATTTTGGCAAACGGGAGCAATTCTTTCCCCATTTCATACTAAATATAATTTAAATCATAATATTACATTCTATTCTGGTTCTAATCCAATCTAGCGACTAGCAAGAGCACCTTACACTGGGGGGGGGGGGGGGGAAGAACAGCCTGCTGGCTAAAACTTGAACCCTTCCTTCTACCTCCAATACACGTGATAATCAAAAGGAAAATATGTACACATCCCTGAGTTAAGGAACTGCCTTCTCAACCTTGTCAAATTAGATTGTAAACCATCATTTATGAAAAATACACTCAAGGGGCAGCACAAAATTACCGATCCTACAAAATTTCTACCCTGGGCGGTTCCCTGCCTAGATTGATTGAAATTAGTGCAGTAACCCCTTTTTTTCCTTCTTTTGTTGATCACAGTATAATAATAATAAATGAACCGGAGAAACTGTCGTAGGGTTTTCATCTTCATCCAGATCCTGAAGCAGCTCTCTGTTTAACATCTTCTCCTTGCTCTTCCTTGGCAAACTCCTCGATCAATTGACGCCGTCTTTGTGTCAGGTTTCTGCAACACATCGAAAAAGAGCCAAACCATTATGTTCTAAGCTTTCATCAAACATAAGTTTCTTCACAGAAGAAGAAATGGCAAGGGGGGGAGGGGGAAAAAAAAGCCTAGAATATCTCTATATTGTGTGTGAGGGCGTTGGTAGCTCATTAACCCTCCAGAACATGATCTCAATGGCACTTACGTTGGGATGCTGACGTTAAAGTGAACATATTGATCCCCAAATGTCCACGAATTTTTGGTTTTGATCCCTGTCAGAAAAACAGAAAGTGACGGCAAAAGAGATTCAGACTTGCAAATCCACGAACCATATTTCTCGAAGAAGTTATAATAATACAATAATAATTTTACAGAGGATGCCATGAATTTCCCCACCTTTCTTTTTCAACACCACCTTCTGACCAGGTTGGGTGCCAGGGCGAACCTGCCAAACAGGGCCTGTCATTCACACTTCAACAATCACGAAATTTTCAGAATATAGAACATATTTCCACACAAACCTTGAGAACAACATCTCCTGTAAGAGTGGGGACCTGAATGGTTCCCCCTAAAATTGCCTGAAAAAGAAAATCAAATATTTCATTATTTAGACTCATCTCAATTATTATTCCAAATAGACCTTGACTCCTGGAATATGAATAGCATCGAATGTGAATTTCAAAGCATACAAGCGCACTGAAATAAAGAGAAAAATACAAGTAGCATAAACTTTTTTTCTTCTATCTATGGATCCATTCAATGTACTTTGCCCCAAATTTATATGTTTAGGACCAAAAGGGAGAACCATGTAGATTGAACCTGAAGCCATTGCTGATAAACATAATAGCCCACTGCTCAAATAGTGCACAGTTTGGGAATGTTACCTGGGTGATGCTTAAAACAGCATCCACGTGAATATCAGATCCTTCTCTTCGGAAAACGGGGTCTTCTCTAACCTGGGGAAAAAAAGAGGTTGAAAGGAAAGATTCAACTATGAGATGCAAAAGGAAAAGAAAGACGAACCCTTAGCCATTAAAGAGATAAAAAGTCATACCCTAACAATCACGTAAAGATCACCTGGGTGATCTCCATCAGGGTCTGCTCCACCACTTCTATAAACTTTTATAGTCTCATTGTTGTCTATCCCTGTAAATATGAAAAGGAAAAAGATAAAACAATCAACATTTTTTACAAATGTAAGGGGAAAAAATAGCTAATAGACATGCATCACTAGCAGCAAATATTTATGATCCTTGCCCTTAAGCCTTCTCAAACGAGTGGAAGTATTTTGTTAACCAAAGATAGCTCCAAACTTAGGATTTTTAATAGGCTAAAGTTATTCAAAAGTTCGATTCCTCTCCAATCAAGAGATTTTTGAATTCTTCCTTTTCATTTGCTGTAACTGTTAAGTATAGTATATAGTAAATTAGTGGATCAATATGACAGGAACATTCATGAGGAAATTGCTCATTAATTTAGCATATGTATATGCAACCTTGACGAGGGCTACATAACATAATGCATCCAGAAATATCAAAAAATGTTTACCAGGCACGAAATCCAACTTGACTGACTTTGTTCCTTTGATAACCTTTGCACCCCTGCAAGACTTGCAGAAGCTCTGGTACCAAGAAAAAGAAAATTATAAAAATTGTAAAGAGGTTATATGCAAGATGTTACCAAAAAAGAAATAGCTATAACTAAGCAACATGAGTTGTTCATCATATGATTTTCATAAAAATGAACAGGGAATGCAACAGAAACAACGAACCATAAAGTCAATAAATGTTTAAAAAAAAAAAAAGTGAGTAGAATAACGAATCTTGTGCTCTGCACTCAACCTTTTAAAAAATGGGAGATATTGATTTTTAGGGGAAAAAAATAGACATTCACACAAACAAAAATGTACCCAAATTCCTCATTGCCAAAAAGGGTACCCAAATTCCTCATAGGAAAGAATATTTTATAATCAAGAACAATAAAATCATAGAAAAGAGATAGATGGATTATATCCACACCAAAAAAAATTGAGAATGTGCATCATACCGATACAATTTTTCCAGTTCCCTTGCATGTGGTGCAGGTACTCTCCATCCTGAATATTCCAGCTTGTACATAATTCTGAAATATATCAAAGAATATCAATTTGACAACTAAAACTAAAGCCTGCCACAAATTAAAAAAAAAAAAAAAGCTTCACATCAAGAAATTACTCACCACCCCAGACCCTTTACAGCGTTTGCAAGTTTCAGGTCTTGTTCCAGGAGGAACACCACTACCACCTGCAATAGCTCAGCAGAATAAATAATGAGGCTGAAAATTTCACCTCTACTGCATTGCCTCTACTAACAAAACTGAACAACAAAGAAAAAGTTGGACAAATAATAGGATCAGCGGACCAGAAACGTATAACAATAGTTAAAATGATGGGCATACCACAAGCATTACAAAGCACATCAGTTTGAAATGACACAGTTTTGGTGCATCCTTGAACAGCTTCCATAAATGATAGTTCAACAAAGGTCTGTACAAAATATAATACCGTGAGATGCTTTATATTAAACAACTTAATAGCACACCTAAGGTCGTCCAAGTGTTAAGAAAGACAGAACCTTGACATCCTCTCCACCAACACCTTGATGAAAAAAGTTCTTGACAAAATCCTGCTCATAATTGAGGGCAATGCCAAATCATAAAAGATCAACGCATTAGAATTCTAGAGATACTTCTATAACTTACAGAGCATATGATTCCTAGAAACTACAGCAGCAAGAGTGAGGACAGAAGAACGAGTAACTAAGCTGATCCAAAATGCCATGGTGCCCAACATTAAATCTTGGATACATTTACAAAGCAATTACAACATGTAACTAAACATGAGTAAAATCAAATGTAGAAGAGGACCACCGAAGTTCATTTAGATTCAAGTCTGAACTAATAATCCCGGTGATTGTATATTTACTCAAGGTCTCCTACTTGGGTATTTGGAAATCATATAGAAAAGATTCAAAAATAAAATTTAAGAATCACCACATATTGGTTTTATTATACATCTATATTTTCTAAAACAATACATATTGACTTACATAACAAAAAATGAAAGTTACAGGCGGACAAGAGTAAGAGATGGAATGAGGCAAGTCATTACATGATCACGGAATATCTGCTCAAATGGATTAAAGCCAGCATCTCCTCCAAAACCATTGCTTTGTTGATTTACGTAGGCATCATGGCCAACCTGCAGATTCACGTTCAATAGATACGATAGAATTGACTCAACAAATTAGCAAAGCAATTCACATTAACAGCCAATAAATAATAAGACGAGTTATACACACAAGCACATCATACACATCTATGATCTACAAGCTCACTAACATCAAGAAAACGAGTTCTAAAAAATTATCGTGTCTAGTATATCATCCACCTTCCAAATCTGCCCTCTATGAGGTTTCTTCACTCCTCTAAAAAGAAGGGGAAAAGGCATGTCAAATAATTCTGGGTTGAACAACAAAAAGCGTAGAAGGAAAAATTTCTGGGCAGTGATATCTCAGCAACCATAAATACACTAATTTTTAGTAATCATATGCAGCGCCTCCCCCCACCCCCTTTTTCAACACACACACACAAAAAAAGGGGGGGGGGCAAAAAAATAAGTCTTCTAGTTTAACAAAAAGCATTAGCAAAATGCAATACATGAAACTGATCACATTTCAAATTCTGAATAATAGGAGGGAGGAGGAGGAGTCAGATCATCATCATCATCATAATAATAATATCATCTTCACTTCATTAGCAAACATGAGGGAGTAAAGATGTCCTCATTTTATCGTCATGCAAGAAAATGTTCCCTATTCTCTCAGGCCTTTCAATTCCTTGACCTCTTTCAACAAATACCATCTTTATAGAATAGAAGTCTATCGTGAGGGTTATTACACTTAATACAGCCATTTGCGGTCACCTCCTTTTTAATAAACTATAACTCGCTATCATTCTCCCATTTGATAACTTTTCAAGCACAATTCTACAATTTACCCTAATGTTTCAGAATAGCATATAGCAACAGCAATAAAATGATAGATAAGGGAACCAAGAAATTTCCGGGGAGGCATGAGACCTGATCATATTGTTGCCGCTTTTCCTCATCCTTCAATACCTACATCAGAGGAGTTGGCCAAAGAAAAAAAAAAAAAAAAATAACAAGTAATAGATTATATAAGCTACCAGAGTTCAGGGTGATAACAAGAACAACAAAATTATACCTCATATGCCATCGAAACTTCTTGAAACTTCTTTTCAGCCTCAGGATCATCTTTGTTTGTGTCTGGATGGAGCTTCTTTGCAAGCTACAAAATGTAGACAATAACTGAGATAGCAGGAAAAGTAAAATAAAAATTCAGGCAGCTATTGATATCATAGCCAAGATTGCCAGAAGAATTCATGTGAAAAGAGAAAGAAGGGCAGGGAGGCATAATATATTTCATAACAGCAAAGCAAAATACACTTCAATAGTGTAGACATCAATACATTTTTGAGCGGAAGTATTCTGCCACAGATTTACTCATGCAGTAGACAGTATAAAAATCGAACACATGAATAAATAAAAATACAGATAGAGGATTCCAAATCAAACCGTGGGTAAAATTAACAAGACAAAAATAAACTGCACGTCATGCCACTAAACCGAATACAAGTCGGTTATTTGCAAATGGACCAATTTCTCTTGTAAAAGAAAACTTTTTAATGGTCCGCTAGTACTGTGAGGATGCAGAGATGGAAAATGAAAACGTCATACCCTGTGTCCAGGGTATGGACAAGGCATTGTACGATTGACCAGGAAACAGCTGGGAAAAACTTACCCCATAGTATGCTTTCTTTATTTCAGATGCGCTTGCATTCTTACTCACACCAAGAACATCATAATAATCTCTCGCCAATGAAGCTGTGAAGGAGTTTTGGGCAGAATAAGTCATTTACGCACCAGGGCCAGTGAATACGCATAGAAAGGGTCACTCATAAAAATGGGAAAAATTGAATGACAAGTTGAACATGGAATAAGTAAAATCTCATCCTGTTTCATCGGAGACATAACGAGAAAAGGATCAGCTAAGCAGAGGATGACAGTATTATCCCCAGTCCAATCCACAAAGATAAACAGGGAGACAAAATGCAAGATATAAAGAGCAGAGCCTTTATTCAAATGCTTTCCTTAGAAATGTAGGGCAAAAAGAAGAGAAGCAGAGGATAACAGTATTATCACCAGTCCTAACCACAAAGATAAACAGGGAGACAAAATGCAAGACATAAAGAGCAGAGCCTTTATTCAAATGCTTTTCTCAGAAATATAGGACAGAGAGAGGAAAAAAGAAGAGAGGGAATAAAGGGATAGAGAACAGGGAACAAGAGATAGAGGAAAGGAACTCAATTCATCATCCAAGCGTTCAAGCCCAATTACAACAAACCGCAGCCACCCATCGATAGACAAGGGTCATTAACAACACTAACGGCTAACGAATTCCAATCCCAGCCACCCTCGACGAACTCTTGTGGCACTTACTACTGCGTAAGAATTGGTTCCAGAAAAAACAGAAACGAAGTTTGCACAGGTGCAAAGAGATGATTCATACCCGTGCCATGAATGGATCTAGTTGTGCCCCAATATGTATTCACTGCTCCCAATAGCAACCGATTCTGCATAGTAAAAGCATCTCCAACTGAAAATATGTAGGGTGCAACAGAGTCAGCACTCAATAATAATGCAAATCAATTTCCCAAGGAAAACTGTCGCACCATGCAACGAATTCTCATTTGTCTAAGAAGTATAATTAAAACAAAACACCACAATTCAAAAACAGAAAATTTTTTTTGGGGGGGGGGGTGTTCAACGCTTTCCTTATCATTGAGGAAGCTATACAATGAGTTTGCAAAAGATGTGATTTTAGCAAATACCGTTTGAAGCGTAACTTCCCGTAATTCTAGACGGCTTGCAAATCCCTGAATGCAATGTCTTGTAACCTCTTTGGGACACAGCCTCGTGTATCTGCAATTCGCACCAAAAGAAGAACTCCCACATTACCAGATCACAATCACTAAAAAAGTCTGTAACAAGCCCTAAAACAATAAAAAGAGGTCAAAAGAGGAGGCCGCGTACGTCGTTCGCAGCGTCACGAAGGTAGTTTGACGCAAGAGATCGACGAGCAGCCCATCGAATCAGTCTGACGCCATTGGAGCGAACCATATTGGAGCCTAAGGACGTGTTAATCAATGATCAAAGGTGGAGTTTTGGAAAGATGATGGATATGGGTGGTGGCAATTGAGAGAGAGTTAAACCCCGGAAAAACCCTAATCAGAAGTATTGAACTGGAAGGTTCTAGTAGGGACTGAAGGGAGGGCCGGGGACAGGGGAAGAGAGAGAAAGAAAGGCTGAATTCTTTATTTGTATGAGAGAGAGAGTATTGATGGCCCAATCTTGCGGGAGAGACGATTCACAACGGCGCGAAGTACAGTTAGCATGTGTGGTGAGCATTTTTCTCTGCGACTCGGCTGGGGGTTTCCCCTGGGTCTGGGGCTTTCTCAAACCGGTGATGGGTTTCGGGTCGAAAAAACCGGTTGTGCCCTTTCCCAAACCAGGGGCACTCAACATATTTTGGATTTTTAATATAAAAACTATTTAATTATTTTTGAAATAAATTTCTTAATTCTAACAAATAAAACCTGATTTCTGCAGAATATCCCCATATAACAGTTAGATAAATCAGTTTAAAAAAAATAAATATAAAAGATAAAATAAATTAAAATTTTAGTTTTATTAAAACCAATTACTTTTTGTCAGAATTTTGGGCTGTTAATGTAATAATGTTATTCCGGCAAGAAAAATGTAATTAAGTTATGATATCATATGATTTGTTTAAAAAAATTAAAAAAATGAGTGAGTAGAAATTTTTAAATCAAAATTCCTGTAATATATATAAATTTTAATCATTAAATAAAAATGTCAACATATATCAAGCAAAATTTATTTGATATTTGAAAAATTATAGCATAAATACTAAGGGTGTTCACGGACGGGATGAGACTGGGACATGTCCGTCCCGATGAACAGGTACAGGACAGGGCTTTTGTCCTATGTCTGTCTCGTTCAATGCCGGTCTCGTCAGGACTGGGACAGAACAGGGACGAGACTGGGACTTCCCGCTTCCCTTTTTAAAAAAAACTATAATTTTTTATCTAAAATTTTTTTATATTATAGTGCTTATTTTTATTGGGTTTCTAAAGATAAAAACATTATAAGAAAATATTATGTAAAAAACTCAATTATATAATATAAAAACAATACTATAAAAAAAAACGGTAACAGAAACACTATATGATGACTTTATAAATTATTTTATTGAGAAAAAATATTTTATTGAGATAATATTACAACTTAAGAGCTAAAAATCACTATAAAAATAATAATAATTATTATTATTAATAAGTAAATTAAATAATCTAATAATTATTATTAATAAATAATTTTTAAAAGAAAAAAATTTCGAGACGGGACGGGACAATCCCGTCCTGCATCCCATCCCATTCCATCCCGTCCCGAACTCACCAGTACCAGGACAGGATGATTGGGACAAGACAAATTAAACACCCCTAATAAATACTAGAACAAAACTGCCCTTTACTATTATTGTTGTCATTAATTGTCGATTAAGTGTGCTCGTGTTCATTGTTTTGTATTCAATAAGATCTCTATTCTTGCGTCACACAAACTCATATAATTTGGTCTCAATTTCACCTATTGCTTTTCTATCTTTTCTTTAATGTTTTGGTCCTAAAAATTAATCAATTCTCTCTCTTTCTTAAAAAAAATCTAAGTATCATAATATTTATATAAAATTGGAAAAATTGGAGTAAAGAACCTGGTCAACAAATAATGGGAGGGAAAGATCTAAAAGAGTGTTTGGATGGAAACTAAACTATAATTTTAAAAGTGATTTTATGATATACAAAATAAATATGTGGAGGAGTTTATTTCAATTTGTAAAAAAATAATTTTAAAAAACACTTATCATGACATCCAAACACCTTTAAATTACAGAATATGAAAGAAAAAGTGCGGAATCAGCAGAAAAAAATGCACATTGTGAAAGAAAAATTGTAAATTCTAAATCTGGTCCTTTTTCCTAATTAATTTGTTAATTAGTCAGGTCATTTCCCCCAAATTTACAAAATATGGACTTAACAGTAAGCTACAAACAATCAAGTTATGAATAGTGCAACCCATCTAAAACTTCGCACAATGCACAAAAGAAGCATTAAGTTTAAAAATACTAAAGAAAATAAAATTTTTATATACCAAACACTTTTTAGGGTATTATAAGTCACAAGCTCTTGCGATTTAAAATATTGACAAACCAAACGTCCCAGGAAGGAATAAAGCACAGGGAAAGCAGCGTTGGCTAAGTTCAAAAACTCTGAAGCTTCTACTGTGCCTTTCAACCTCTGTTTCCCTCACTTTTCTTCACTTTTGCATTGCTCAACATAGAAGAAAGAACTGATCCCCATGCACATATATACAAATAAAAAACCATACTTTTTTTTCCTTTCCCCCTTCGATTCAGCTAATCCCGTTTGGGTCTTGAGGCAACTCCTACGTTGTAAACAGAGAGCTAGAACAGCTCGTTCATATCCTATTTTAAAAATCCGAAGGCATTTCGTACCAAAAGAATGGGTCAGCTTTACGTTAGACCAATGTGAAGCTTTCCTCAAGCAGCTTCTCCATCAAATTATTCTTTGCTTAACCAAAGTGGCAGTATCAGTGTGTGAAAACTGAGAACTGAACTGTTCTTTCTGCCATCTTTTGCCTTCTTATGCTGAACATACTTTCTTGTTTCAAATAATATTTCGGTTCAGGTTCACTTGTGAAAGGTCATTTAGCTTTAGCTTCTTGTGACAGTGAGGGTAACAAGACAAGGAAATGAAGCTGGTGGTGGAGGTCATTGATGCTCACGATCTTATGCCTAAGGATGGAGAAGGATCAGCGAGTCCATTTGTGGAGGTAGAGTTTGAAAATCAGTTGAGCAGAACCAGAGCTGTTCCAAAGAATCTCAACCCCACTTGGAATCACAAGTTGATTTTTCATTTAGATCAAACCAAACCTTACAATCGCCAAACTATCGAAGTGTCGGTCTACAACGAGAGGAGGCCCATAAGTGGGAGGAACTTCCTTGGAAGGGTGAGAATTCCTTGCTCCAATATTGTGAAGGAAGGTGAGGAAGTCTATCAAGTTTTCCCGTTAGAAAAGAAATGGATTTTCTCACCTGTGAAGGGTGAGATTGGCCTGAAACTATACTTTGCATCAGAATCCAAACACAAGAAAGCTCTTTCTCCATCATTTACCGCACAAGTAGAAGAAATCTCATCTTCTCTACCACAGGTACAAGATTCCACTGCTGCTACTACATCTACTGATAATTTTCTGGAAAATAGAGGCTTCACTGAGAAAGAAATAGCAGAAGGTCCTGACATGGATGCTCCAGAAGTTGCCAAAGAGGGAGTAAACTTTGATTGTGCTGTAAATTCCTCAGTTGAAGCAGAGGCTAAGTCCAGCGGGATTGACGAAACGGTTGATGTGCCAAAGGAGGAAAGCAGAGAACCTGTGGAAGAGACAGCTCAACAGCTACACAAACACCAAGCTATGCAGCAGCCAGTTATTTCCATAAAGAAACGGCCGAGAGTTACTTCATTAACAAATGTTCACCCAGTGAGTTCTCAAGTCCATTCTCGTCAAAATGATGAGGACTTCAAAGTGAAGGACACCAATCCACAGCTCGGAAAGAGGTGGTCGTACGGTGGAATAGCAAGAGGGTGGACGCGTGGTGGTGCAAAGGGTGAGAAGTTCACAAGCACGTATGATCTAGTTGAGCAGATGTCCTATTTGTATGTTCGAGTTGTGAAAGCAAAAGAAATTACTCCTAGCTTCATGACGGGAAGCCGTGATGCTTACGTTGAAGTGAAGCTTGGAAATTACAGAGGAAGAACAAAGTGCGTTGAGAAGAAGTTGAACCCAGAGTGGGACCAAGTCTTCGCTTTCTCGAAAGAGCGGATTCAGTCCTCTGTGCTGGAAGTTTTCGTGAAGGATAAGGAAATGGTGAGGAAAGATGATTATCTTGGGAGGGTGGTTTTCGACCTTAACGAGGTACCAACCAGAGTCCCACCAGAGAGCCCATTGGCTCCTCAATGGTACAGACTTGAGGATTGGAGAGGAGAAGGGAAAATCATGGGTGACATTATGCTTGCAGTGTGGATGGGAACTCAAGCTGATGAAGCTTTTTCAGATGCCTGGCATTCAGATGCAGCCACAGTTTATGGAGAAGGTATATTCAATGTCAGGCCAAAGGTTTATGTCTCACCAAAACTGTGGTATCTTAGGGTCAACATCATCGAAGCTCAAGATGTGATTCCCAGCGACAGAAACCGCCTGCCAGAGGTTTTCGTGAAAGCCCAAGTTGGAAACCAAGTACTTAGGACCAAGATATGTTCACATCCGACAACCACTCCACTTTGGAATGAAGATTTGATTTTTGTTGTTGCGGAACCTTTTGAGGAGCACCTAGTGATTACTGTGGAGGATCATGTCCGCCCTGAGGTTCTAGGGGAGATAAACTTGCCATTGTTGCATTTTGACAAACGGCTAGACCACAGGCCGGTTCATTCTCGCTGGTTTCCTCTTGAGAAACATGGTTTTAGACTGATGGAAGGCGATAGAAGGAATGAGCTCAAGTTTGCAAGTAGAATTCACATGAGAGTTTGTCTTGAAGGCGGATATCATGTGCTAGATGAATCAGCTTTTTACACAAGCGATCAAAGACCAACATCAAGACAGCTATGGAAGCCTCCCATTGGGATTCTTGAAGTGGGTGTATTAGGAGCACAAAGCCTTCTTCCAATGAAGATGAAGGATGGACATGGCAGCACTGATGCTTATTGTGTCGCTAAGTACGGCCAGAAATGGGTCCGCACGAGGACAATTCTCAATACTTTCAATCCTAGATGGAATGAGCAATACACATGGGAGGTTTATGATCCTTGCACTGTGATAACACTGGGAGTTTTTGATAATTGCCACTTGAAAGATGGAAATTCAACCCCTGACTCACAAATCGGGAAGGTAAGAGTTCGGCTTTCAATGCTAGAAGGTAATAGGACCCACATCCATTCTTACCCACTTCTTGTCTTGCATCCACTTGGGGTTAAGAAGATGGGTGAGCTTGAACTTGCAATCAGGTTCACTACTTTCTCACTTGTCAATATGATTCAAATTTATGGCCATCCTTTGCTACCCAAGATGCATTATTTACACCCATTTACAGTGAACCAGTTAGAGAATTTAAGATACCAAGCCATGAATATAGTAGCTATGAGGCTTGGCCGAGC